GAAGTGCAACGAACCGGCGACGAGACACACAAGGTTATATACACGAGGTAATGAGGGAAGATGGGAAACAGGTGCGGGGAGGTAATCAGGGAACAGGTGTGACAAGACAGGTGCAGGAAGTAAAACAGAAACACCCGATGAAGTGATTTCAAAATAAAACAGGAAAGACGAGGCATACAATATGGACAGAGACTTTAGGGACATGACAGAAGTAGACGGGAAGCTGGACGAGAGCGTAACTCATTTTACCCCGTAGGAGTGAATCCGGCTCCTAATTTATTCACAAAGGACGACTTGAGCTGCATTTATCCTCCAAGTACATTCATCTAACATGAGACTTTTTTTATTTGGTCGGCACAGAGTTACTGTCACTGATATAAATGATGGGAAAATCTGAAAAAAACAAGACCAAAGTTGTAATAAAGTGAAATTATTCCATCACAAAAGTTGCAGCATCTGCAGGGTTTTTATTTGTCTGAATACAAACAGGAATCCATGAGTTTTTCTCTTTGCAGAGGAAAATGTATGAGTAAACCAAATAAAGCTGGATGTTTCTCACTAAAAGAAGTGAAATAAAGGGCAGGAAACATTTGCACCATCACCATGAACTCTGTTCTTTATTCACTTCCTGCTTCCTTTTGCTGGAGGCGCCCGGGTGACAGCATCATTTCAGGGCTTCGGCGGTTCGACTTTTAACGGCCGATTGACCTGCGGAAGTCAGCGCGCATCAGGATCATCAACCTGAAAAACACACGGCTCACGTGGGCCGGATGTCGTCGCACACCAGCCTCCTCCTCCTCGCTCTGTCCTTGGGCTGGAAAAAAAAATGTCAAAAATAGTGACAGAAGGCCGAGAGAAGGAGGGATGATGGAGGGATGGTGGGGGGGATATAAAAAGGGATTTCTAAAACAACACATCTCATCAGGAGGCTGCGGCTCCAGACCGGCTCCAGGTCACAGTGGTGGCTGGTAAACACCTGTTTATTAACACACACACTCCACCACAGCCGACTCTAATGACTTTTACAATTAGCAGCGGCTCTGATTGTGTCTCGGCGCGGCGGCCGATCAATAACTCTGCCAGATAAATGATCCCGAGTCGCTGAAGGGAGCGAAAGGCCACAGCTCGGATTAATCAGCGCCTCCATCAGCGGCTCTGACGTCTCACTAAATCGCCCATTTAGCTCCATCATGGTGACATTTTCTTACATCCTGCATGTACAGCTGCTGCTCTTCTCGCTCTTACGTCTGCACATGTGTGGCTCTTCAGATTTCTGACACTTTAAAGCTAAATGGGGGGATTTTACATTTGATTATTTGCAGACATGTGGCGTACACGGTGCTCAAAGAAGATACAGATTGTGGCTGATATGAGCATCTTTAATATAAACTCGTGTCATAAACATCACCTGTATTTAGCTTTTAAAGAAGCATGACCCTGATATGTGCTGAGAGGGAACCTTTGGACCTAAAAATGACAAACTGTGTGATGGGACACAGTACTGATACTACTTCAAAGTTGTTTTATGTCTTTTGTATGATGCATTTGTCTTTTTAGAATACAACAGAATATCCTTGATTAGTCCCACAAGAGGAAATTTGCAAGCAAACGTAACCATAAATCTAAGAGGCGAGGTATAGACACTATATAGACACAATATAAAAAAGAAAAGCAGAAGAACACAAGGATACTAAGAAGACAAATGTAAGAATATTTATATGGATGAATTTTCCTTTGTGCTGTTATCTCTGTGATCATATTAAACATGCTCAGAGCTCCTTTTAGTCCAACGTTTAACCACAATATGTCTTTTTAACTCTATGTTTTGTTATTCGAATCAAACAAATAACACGCGCTGATCAGCCACAGCTTTAAAATGATCTTCCTGATATTGTACGGTACCACTAAAACAGCACCGGGCCTTTGACTCCAGACGTCTTTGGGTCCTGTAGGTTGGGGGATTCGGCCTCCATTTAATTATACTTGTCCGACTGCTCAGCTGGTTTAGGATCTGGGGAGTTTAGGGGTTGATTCAACCTCCTAACTATCGAGATCCTAAGCAGTTTTTTCGCTGTATGGTTGGGTTTCAGGAACCTAGACTGTATATAAAAGACAAGTCAAGCACTGTTAAAGAACTAATTGTCTAGAAAACTATTGATTTCTAATGTGGATGTTACTATTTTAGTGATTTCACTCGTTATCTTTAATTTGACAAAACAGGATAAATCTATAAATACCAGTAAACTGTTCAAGAAATTACAGCTAAATATTGTTCAAGAAAAGGTTATGTTCTCTTTAGTGTGTGAGATCTGAGTAGCTGCTGTACGCGGTGACGTTTGGGTGTTTTCAGGGTTTTCCACGTCAGGATCCCGCTAAACAGAAATGATTTTCGTGCAAGAAGTCGACTGATGCTTCGATGCGTCATCGCAACACAACTCGACACAAACACACAACAGCTCGGCTACAGGAGAGACAAACGGCTCGTCCTGCAAATGTCAGAGGTAACCGTCTAATGTCAGCGGGGCTATTTGCGGCTTCATAACTCTTCCTAACAAGTGATGACTGATTCGAGAAAACTTCTTTTTTTTTTTGAGGGGACGCTGCACTGACGGCTATTTTTATCCAGAGTGGGATTTTATTAAAGGCTGTTGAGTGTTTCTTAGAAATGGGTATTTTCCCAGAGCTCCAGGTCAGTGACGGAGAGAAGCAGAGAAAAGGCCAAAACAATAAAGTGAGATCTCTGTTTTTGTGTGTGTCACAGCTGACAGCGACCCTGATGAAGACCTGTGGCGGCCATTTTTATGACACTCTGTCATGTCAAATGTCAAACAAGGCGTCTTAATTTTGCACAGAGGAAACCTTGAATCATTTCTGTTTAATTTTTTGGTGTTAAAGGCTTTTTTCTTTTTTAAATTCTTGCAACGAACCCCTCAGAGATGAGACATTTATTTGCTCAGACTTGACAAACATCCTCCAGAACCACAGGAGACTTTATACGAGTCTTTTTAAGATAAAATGAGAAAATTATTTCCAGCATAAACATGCACTTAATACTTGAATATTTCTTGAGTACGACCGAAATCAACCTGTTTCCCCTCTCAGCTATTATCATAATACATAAATTTTACAGAAAAACAATCATCTAATTCACTTTGCAGCATTTACTGCATAGTTTCAAAAGCCAAAAAACTTACGTAAAATAGTTCTCCTTGTAGATGCGCTCTAATCAGGATTAATAGATGCAGATCTACTTATTCATATGTGAATTTCAAACTGCTGCTTCTCCCCTTTTATCTTCAATAGTCAATATGTGAATAAAATAGACGTACAGTGTGGTGAGAGAATATAGTGGGAAAGCATTTAGTCATCATTTTATGTATTTGAATATTAAATAAAAGTAGAATTGTCTGATGTTTCTGTGATTTTCTATCTCTGGTTGTTGCACGTTAACATGCAGTTGACTTTCAGCTGTTTTATCAAACTATTGAGATACAAAACAGGAGCGTTAGTTTTGAGAGACTTTAAGCCAGATGAGTCACAGCTAATCCAGGAGCTGCAGAGGAACCAATGCTGCCCTCTGGTGAGGTAAAACAAGCACTATGTTTGGTTTTCAATGGTTAGAAATCAAAGGACAAGTGTGAAAACATGGCTCATGGGTTATAACAAATATGGCAAAGGAACACAGATTTAACTCAAAATAAGGATGTTTATTATAACCAAAAGCAAACCTTTAAGACAAATAATAATAAGTATGGCGTGTAACTATCAGTAGCATCAGTAGGTATGAATGAGTGAACATGATGGGATGTGAGGTGTTGTGGAGCAGAAACAAAGCAAAAAGGTAACAGAGAAAGACGTGTCACCACCAACGAAGCCGGGTCAGAACCAATGAGAGAGAGCAAGAGAGGCACGGCTGAACTTTATGGGCCGTCCTGATGCCTTCAGGGACCCACAGGTAACTGGAATTCTGGCTTTTTAATGTCGGCAGAGAACTTGACTTTCGTGTTTAAGCTTTATACGTAAAATCTGAAGGTGGCTCGGTGGTTCGCACCGTTGCCTCACAGCTAGAAGGTTAACGTTTGGCGTCCCGGTGAGGACACCCGGGAACCTTTCTGCGTGGAGTCTCCATGTTCTCCCCGTGCAGCGTGGGTTCTCTCCGGGTTCTCCGGCTTCCTCCCACAGTCCAGAAACATGTTGAGGTTAATTGGTGATTGTAAATTGTCCGTAGGTGTGAATGTGAGTGTGCTTGGTTGTCTGTCTCTAAGTGTAGCCCTGTGATAGACTGGTTACCTGTCCAGGTGAACCTGCCTTCACCCTGAGTCAGCTGGGATAGACTCCAGCCCCCCATGACCCTCGTGAGGATTAAGTGGTGTATAGATGATAAAATGGTGATGATAAAATCTGGTGTTTTATAGCAGTTACATTTAACATTTTTACAGCTTGGAGGTTTAAATCATGTAAAATATGAAGGAAGTGTTTGTTTAGATAATATCAAACAGAAAGCAGACAAACTTTAAACTTATTTGATGCATATTCATCAGTTATATAATAAACTTCCTGAAGTTCAAAGATGATGCACCTGCAAGAATTCGTTACCGATAAAGCTAAGTTTTAAATTTAGGGCATTTAATTTCTTTAAACAACTTATTGTTGGGTCTCAGAGAAGTCTGGCTTCAGCTAGTCAGTGTGATTATTTTCTGGATTACTTGATTAGTTTTTAGTCTAGAAAATCTTTGAGTGGTTCCTAAAGCCCTAAAAGGTCCTGTTTTGTCCACAACCCCAAAGATATTCAGTCTGCTGTGTTAGAGGACTCAAGAAACCAGAAACTATAACATTTTCAAAAGCTAGATTTAGAGAACTGACTTTTTCTGAAAACAACCGATTATGGAAATAATTTGCAATTAGTTAAACAGCTAATCATTGCACCTTTAGTGAGAATTGACTCCCAGTTGCACAAAAATGGGTTTAGACTGTTGACAAACAACAAACACAGAAGGTAAGTTTTATGAAAAGTCTATTTACAGGAAATACAAATACAGTAAATTTGAACATTTCCAGACCTCCTGAAGATCAACATTTATTATAAAAGGCATATATAAAGGCTATTTAAAAGTGACATTACAGCGTATTTACATCCATTTCATTTTAAAACATAATAAAAGTGTGAGCTTTAAAGCGTATCAGTCTCCATTTCTTTCTCTTTTTTTGGCATCAGATGAGTTTGTTGCTCGCAGACAACAGTTTTCAGCCCGGCGGCACTTCCTGGTTGATTGTCCCAGCAGTGCTTTAAGTGCGTCATTCAGGCAATTCACAGTTTTTATGTAACAAAGTTTCAGCAACCGTGCAAGTATCCAAGTAGTTTCCAGGCTGAGTTTAAAAGCTTTACACCTCCATCACAGGCGCCTGATGCTCCTCTTGCTGCCCGGTACGATCGGGGTCGTCTTGGAGGTGGACACGTGAATCCTGGGCTGCACCGTTCGGCAGGGTGTCGAGCCGTGGAAAGGTTCCTGGCAGCGGGTGCAGAAGTCGAAGAGGCAGCTGGCGCGAGTGCACGTGGCCCTCTGGACTTCAGGAAAATGTGTCGCGGGTGAGCTGCAGCGTTTGCAGTGACGCAGAGACTCGTGTTGCTTCAGAGTGCTGGCCGCCTGCACAGAGGAACACGCAGAGAACATGTTTATTTAAGCATTTTCAACAGTTTAAACCACATTTAATGAAGGCAACTCCTCGAGGCGGGGTCACTAAAAACAACACTCACCTGCATGTATTCATTGAAGCGTGTACAGTTGCTGCTTTTCTGAGACGGAGCCGTCCGTCTGTTGATCCCGCAGTTTGAAGAGGAAGACGATGGAGTGTTTGAGAAGGCCAGGGTCTGCATACAGGACAGCACCACCCTGGACACAGCCACGTCTCTAGTCAAACCACAACCCTTCTGCCTCAGGGAGCTCCTCGACTCCTAAAAACAAAAAGGTCAAGTATTAGTGCTTGAAACAAACACAGAATAGGTTCCAGGCACACATTTAGTCATCAGAAACCAGTGATTAATGGATATTCTTCTCGTAAACATTCATTCAGCGTTCTTATGCTCGTATACTCTTGTCTTAAAATGTCTGGTTTCAAATGTGAAGCACGCATTATGTAAACAAGAATCACACACATTGTCACAGGCATCAGAATACATGTTTGTGAGTGCACTTGTGTGTTTGTGTCCATTGTCCTCACCCTGAGTGCCTGCTCTGCTCGCCGACACCTGCTCAGAGCTGCTGTATCTTCACAGATGATCTTCCTCCAAGTTCTGCTCACTTTCTTACAGCTGTGAGAAACATGAACATATGATGAGCACAGACAAGAAACAACACTGAAGATAAAGTACAAACAGCAACAATTATCTACATTAAATGTCTATTTTCAGATGAGATTACATGTGACTTCAGCAATTAAGTAACAACATTAGTTACTCCTCATGTAACCTGAATTTCCTGCTTTTTATCCCCCCTTGAAAAAACAAAGAAGTTCAGTTTGCAGCTACTAAAGCAACACCTTCCCCTTTGTTGTCAACCCTCTGTCCACATAGTGCAGGATTTGTAGTTTACCTGACGAGGTCCATGTCTCCCAGCAGGGCCAGGACGTTGGTCAGGATGCTCCTCATGTTCCTGGACAGCAGAGATGTGAAAATATCGACGTACTCCAGGCCCATCTGACCTCCGATCACCCGATCCAGAAGATGATCCTCTGCAACCTTTGTAACGATGCTCCAGTCATACCTGAAACGCAGGAAAACAGTTACAATACACATATTTACTCAACATTACACAGTGACCCAAAGAAATACTCAGTGAAATGAGACCATAAAATGTCTCTCAGGTCTGCCAGTGGATTGGGATTGCTGTTAAGCTTTCTGACCTATACATCTAAAAAACTAATCCCTAGTCTCTTGTACAGTTTTGATATTGTTGCTGTCCCACAAGGAAAAAGATTTGTTGCCTTTCTGCCACTAAAAACAAAGAAATAGCAGCTCCAGAGTAACAAAGCCACAGTACAAGAATGTAACTTACTTCTTGTTCTTCTTATAGCTCTTAGCGAGCTCTTCGCACACGGCTCGCTGGAACTTCAGGATGGGCAGGTTGGGGTCGCTGTGAGGGTCGGAGGGGGTGGATGAATATGCTGCTGGTCTCCTCCTAGAACAATCCACAGGAGTGGAAAGTGACACCAGAGACACTGGACGGCTAAAGTTGGTCCTCCCTTGACATTTGGAAGGAGATTCGGTTGGTGATACTGTCTTTTCTTGTTGTGTAACAGCAGCAGAAGGCAGAATTGCTGCTGGTTTCCCCAGGATGTGGTCATCCTCTTCCTCTCCGTGGTGATAATCAATATGGCTGTTGTGCAGAGACAAATAGCCGCTGTCCTCAAAGCCTTCATCCAGAGTCCCGTCATGCTGCCTGTTGGTGCTGTTTTCCTTGTCGTGGACGGCGCTGGTGTTGCTCTTGATAGAGAACAACACTTTGGTCACTTCTGCTGGAGGACAGCGGGGTTTGATGGGGGTGGGCTCCTTCAGCGGAGAGGGTTTGAGATGAAGCACTCTGGGCTCTGCAGCAGCAACAGAGCTTTTCTCCATATTGCTGGCCTTGCTAGCCTCGTAACAAGGGCACTTCATGATATTACTCTTTTGTAGATTTCTGTGTAAAAGAGACAAACGAGGAGATTATGTCAGGCTCTCAGTACTGAATGTGACCGAAGCTTCCCAAACAACATGGCTTCTCTATGGCAAGGTAACTCAGCTGCAACTAAGCCAACTAGTAAGCTGCATTTCACGAAGGAAACAAATAAAACATGACTATACAGCTATTAAACTATTACTTTACACGTTGCACATAGTTTGAAACTCGTCCGTCTGATATTTTGCAAACCAAATAGTCGATTTTGGCGCGATGCGGATTTGGCGGAAAGGCAGCGATGACGTGCAAGACGCTCGGTTTGCCCTCATTTGAATGCAACTGTTACATTTCAAGATATTTTGCTAAATTAGCTCCTGCTATGGAATCTTTTGCACATTAGCAGGTGACAAATAACGTCGGTAAACATGATGCCAGTAAACATTAGCGACCTGCATTTCCGCGCGTACAGCTGGGTGTGTGGGAAGTAGCTTTGTAGTAAGAAAATACTTTGCGACTGCATGCAAAAGTAAAACAAAACAAAAACATATTAGTACAAAGCAGTGTCTAAAATTCAGCATAGAGTCGGTTAATATTTTTAGTTGACATTTATTTTCCCACAGCTAGCTGACCGACTAACTACCACAGCTAGTACCCAAGAGCTAGTACCCCAGCTAGCTAACCTTGCAAGTCGAACTGAATACAACGTATTGTAGCTTTAGGTTAAAATTAATTCAGCGTATATTCAACGAAGCATCTTAACTTACGTTTGTATTTTCCAAGGAAGACTCCTACGTTCCGCCTTTTAGCCGCTGAGTTGTCTCCCGGCTGACTCTCGCTCCACCGTGGTTAAAGCCTCCTCAACTGAAAATCCGCCAGTTGCTGCCTCCTATTTGAAATCGGTGCACAAAAGGCGCAAACCAATCAGAACGAAGCGGGGGGTTGTCCCTTTAAACAGTCAACCAACAGGAGCTCGTTTCGGTCCCGTGACGTGGGCGGTCCCACTAGTTTGTCATCCGACGTGAAACAAGGACAGTAGTGGCCTCTTACAGAAGTTTTGTAATCGAAAAAAACAAAGTTATAGCTCACATAATTAGGCATGTGAAGCCAGAAAGCATCAGCCGAATTAAATATTAAGGGTTGTCATAGAACATGGAAAAATATTGGCGATGTTGCACATGCTAAATATGAAGAAAAGCACAGTAATGTTTATAAAGGCTAATATTGCTAGAGGGGTTCATGACAAATCTTCATCAACTGCTTTAAATGCAAAATACACGTTACCAGCCTTTAGATAGTTAAAAGATGGACAGCATTTATTAGGTTAATGTTCAATAATATTGTGAAATTTCTAAAAAAAAAAAAAGTTCAAACGTTTCTCTTTCATCACTGTTTGTACAATTCTGCATTACTACATACATATGCATGGCAACACAGCCAGTTTTTCGAAAACAAAAGAACAAAAGACATAAACTGACAAGATTTTAAAGTAATTTACTGATTTACACCCGTGACAAGACAAGTTGCTTCACAATCAAAGGTACATCCGTGTTCCTTTGGTGTAGACAATACATGTGTATGAGGCCCCTTTTTCAGATTGCATCAAACGTTTAAGCAGAAACTAGAAAACAGATCATGTGAGCCTAATTGTTGCACATAGAAACTGTTGGCATTTTTGTGTAGCAAGCAAACTGGAGGGGGGTGGGATTCTCTTTCTCAATTCTGTCAGGAAACACGCCGTTATCAAAAAAGTGGCAAATCCCAGGACAAGTCAGTTCACACCCCTGCCTGGAATGTGTGAAGTGGTGATACCAGATGGTGGGAGAGTTGGGGGTTTTGGTTAATTGATGGAGTTGTTAGATCTTGTCTTTCACATTTAAATTGTATTGTATTAAGTCAGCTGACAAATCCTCATCCAAGTCATAACCAAGATTTACCTGGTAGATGTCTGCATTATGTTTAATGGCCTTGTACTTACTTAAGGGGAAGGTGTTTGATCATTGCATACTGAAGTGAAATAATGCCAACTGAATGGTGATACCAGCATCCAGCCTGTTTAAAAGTCAAAGTCTAATTTACAATTCTACATGGTCATTTCAATTGCAACAGATCACAGACGTTACAGAAGTTCTAAGCATGCTAATTCAGTTTGTAAAGCAAAATGCCAACTGAAATACTAAAAACATTTAGTCCTGCCCATTCATTCAGTCTTGTAAAGGGCCCAGGAGTGAGAGTATAGTTGAATTTTATTTTTGTGTCAACATTGTGCTCACATAGTGTACTTTTCTGAAATTCAAAATAATAATAATAAAAAAAGTTTTTTTTTTTTTTTTTTTTTAAAAAAAGCTTGTTCATAGGGAACCAAGGGACTCTTTTGATTTGTTGGGTTTTTATGATGTGTATTTTTGTCTATTTTTGTTTTGTGTGTGGAGGAGAGTTTTCTAAAATAGTCCCTTTAATTTCCATAACAATACTGTAGGGTTCTAATATTTATTATAGTCAGGTAAAGTTGTGTTTTATATTTTTTTAAGTGTTTCATATAATTTAAACTTTTTTGGCTAATATGTAACGCCAATATTATTTTTTGTACTATATACAAATAACGGTGACCTGAGTTGACGTACAGTAAATTCATTAAAATACGTCCCAACAATAAGATTATGTCTTTAAATCTACTTTGTATGTATCATTTCGCTGTCCGTGCACAGTACATTTTAAGATCTGACTCTAAAATGTGTTTTTTAATTATGTTTTAAGCAGAATCATCGCGGGTTGTGTCTCCTTTAAATTTTTCCCCAAGTGTTTGTCAGCCGCCTATTGCGCATGCGTGCCACATTCAATATGGCTGCGCACTTCAACAAGGTGGTAAAGGAGCAATACTTCTATAACAAACACTAACAATCAGATCCTAGAGCGTTTTAGCACAACTTATGATTGAGATATCATTCGTTATAGCCACATAATGATTTCGATATAAGGAAAAAAATAATTGAAGCTTTCGGAGGTTCGTTATTTACTTCCAAGTTCATGTATTAGCTTGCTGGAAACTAAGCGTTTTGTTTACCTTCGCAAATGTTCTTATTGTGTTTTTTAGGTTGAAATCCAGCCTTAATTTCAACAACACAGATCAGCGGTCCGTCCGCTGTAATTAAATTTTAAATTAAAAGTTAAAATTCGTGCTTGGGTTGTCCCGTTCCGCAAAAATGCTGTTCACCTCTATGTGAGGCTGCTGACGGCTGCTGACGACCTCAGTCTGTTGAAATCTGAAGTTTCATCGGGATGAAGTACCGCTTATCGTTTGACACACAGGCCGAATTGAAGAAAGTCCTCGCAGTGTATTGATTATTTCTTTATATAGCAGCTGTATGGCATTTATTTTTGGTAACGCAGTAAAAACATGTTAAATCATACACATTTTGAATGAATTTCGGTCTGAATGTTCCTTCTGGGCTTGAGATAAACATGCGTCAAAGCCAAGACATATCAGGATCTGTTTTTTACACTGCCACATGGTGAGTCCTACAAACAAAACCTGCTAATACAATGGCTTACAGAAGAGTTGTAAACCTCCTTCCAAGAGGAAAGGAGTTTGTCTTTGGACTTTGGATACATCGATTTCAAAAACCACAAACTGTCATCAGCCAAAGTCACTGTGGCAGAACCGAAAGAACTCTTCACACCAGCACACCATCGATGGTGAAGCTGCTGTCAGTGGATGAGCTTTTTGCCCGGAGGTCTGTGCAGGAACACCTGAAGAAGATGGAGACGGAGTACAGCGAATGTTTACGAGCAGTCAGCAGCAGTTTGCCAGAGGAGCAGTGCAGTGAGGACGAACTGAAGACCAAGAGGACCAAAGTGTCCCTGCTGGCTCCACTCGTCCAGAGCATCAGAGAGCTGGACGCCAAGCAGAAGGAGATCGCAGAGACTGAGATGCTCCTGAAAGGTGAGAAGTAGTTTAACTGAAGGTATGAGGGGAAATACCTCTAATTACTGAAATCATACATGCACTAATGTTGTGAGAATTAACAATCGGGAGTTGATTGCTAGTCTTTGTTTCATTATTGTACATGAAATTTTGTATTGCAACATTTTTTCTTGTCAAAAAAGGGTGTTACTATTTGCAAACATCTGACAAGTTGCTTTCCACTGTTGCAAAAATCCAGTGTTTGAAGCCAAACTAGTACAATCAGCGATATAAAAGGAGAGAAAACCACAGTGTGAACATTTAGCAACATTTCTGACTGCAAACAAATTCATGTCACACTGTGCTCTTTTTGTCTCTTGTTAACTGTTTGTTTTTGTGTTTCCTCAAAGATGACGATCCAGCCCTGAGAGAACTGGCGGAGCTGGAGAGAGAAAGCTGTGTGCAAGACATTCAAGATCTTAGACAAAAGGTGCAAGTGTGACGCCTTGCCTAATTGTGACAAGACTGTACAGCATGAAGTAAAAGAACAAAAAGTTTTTAAACGTTTCAATGCTGGTTTTTGTTGCAATACTTGTTGCATTTGGTTCAATCTTATCAGTGTGGTCTGTCATCAGATCCTGGATCTGCTGATCCCTGAGGAGGACGCTGATCTGAGTGACCTCGTCCTGGAGGTCACAGCCGGTGTTGGCGGTCAGGAGGCCATGCTGTTCACTGCTGAGGTCTGGAAGCACTTACGTTAAACACATTTCCTCATAAGCTAGACACATGCAGGGTTGTGACCCATGACAATTTCTTGTTGAAGCAAACAAAAAAGAAACATTTCAAGTTTTGGGAATGCTTTTACTTACAGAAGCATCTGACATCAGGACAAAGATTAAACTTAAACTCATTACAGAGGGTTTATATTAAAACAACACTGTGTTTTCTGTGTGTTTACATGCTGCGTGTTCTCCTCTGAAGGTGTTTGACATGTACCAGGGCTTCGCTCAGCACCACGGCTGGTCCTTCGACATCCTGGGGCAAATGACCAGTGACCTCGGTCAGTAGATACAAACACTTTGATTAAAAGCTCGGCTCGGCAGAACTTCTCAGAAAAATACCACATATTTCTTGTTTTTCCAGTATTTTAGGTTTTTATCTCTGTTGTAGAGGGGTGGCCATGTTAAGGTGTGTAAACCTTTCCAAATAAAACTGAAACAATTTGTTGCAAACTGACCATTTAGAACAGTACTGTTGGTGTAACTACCACAGTCCGGCCAAGAGAGGGGCTCCTCCGTCGCCGGCTCCCGGGCCGAGTCCGGCCCCTCACAGGGGGTCCGCCGTCACCGGCTCCCGGGCCGAGTCCGGCCCCTCAGACGTGCTCAGCCATCGCCGGCTCCCGGCCCGAGTCCGGCTCCTCATAGGCGCTCCGCCGTCGCTGGCTCCCGGCCCGAGTCCGGCCCCTCATAGGCGCTCCGCCGTCGCCGGCTCCCGGCCCGAGTCCGGCCCCCCATATGGGCTCCGCCGTCGCCGCCTCCCGGCCCGAGTCCGACAACGAGGGGGGCTCCGCCGTCGCCGGCTCCCGGCCAGAGTTCGGCCCCTCAGAGCGACTCCGACGTCGCCGGCTCCCGGCCCGAGTTCGGCCACCGAGGGGGGCTCCGCCGTCGCCAGTTCCCGGCACGAGTCCGGCTCCTCATAGGGGCTCCGCCGTCGCCGGCTCCCGGCCCGAGTATGGCCCCCCATATGGGCTCCGCCGTCGCCGGGTCCCGGCCCGAGTCCGGAACCTCACAGGGGCTCCGCCGTCGCCGGCTCTCGGCCCCCCATGGGGGCTACGCCGTCGCCGGCTCCCGGCCCGAGTCCGGCCCCCAGAGAGGCTCCCGGCCCGTCGCCGGCTCCCGGCCCGAGTCCGGCCACGAGGGAAGCTCCGCCGTCGCCGTCTCCCGGCGCGAGTACGGCCACAAGGGAGGCTCCGCCGTCGCCGGCTCCCGGCCCGAGTCCGGCCCCTCACAGGTGCTCCGCCGTCGCCGGCTCCCGGCCCGAGTCCGGCCCCTCACAGGGGCTCCGCCGTCGCTGGCTCCCGGCCCGAGTCCGGCCCC